CCGACTGTCCCCTTCCATTTTGCATCTCCTGATTCGAAACGTCTACAAAAAAAACCTTTCGTTCCACCGTTTGGTCATTGTCCAGCATCCTCCCTTCCATGTCGAAATGTAGCCAAACTGTCCCTAATTTTTCAGGGTGCGGCGCACAGACTGTCGGTGCGCGCCCCCCCGCCKCCGGCTGGTGTACTCTAAGGGAGAATGTATTCGACGTCGTAATCGTCATCYGTTATTGTGGTGCTTGGGAGGCCAGGCCTGTCGACAGACAGCGTGCCACAGCGAAAGAGGGCTGCTGCCTTCTCAGCCACGGATACGGATTTGTCCAGCTTGAAGACGGAAAAACTCATTACCGTGTCGCGCGCTCGTAGAGATGAGACGATTGCCTGCTTTATAGATACCAATTTTTCTATCTGCTCTGCAGCTCGTGTCGTCTTCATTGTCTGTTCTATCTTACATTGAATGATCATCTCCGCGAAAGCGAGTTGCTGCAGGGTGACGCCGAGGTTTCGTCCTTCCTTCCTCATCTGGAAAACTTTTAAGAGTGTCGTCTTGAAGGCGGGGGCGCCCTACGGATCGTCGCCGCTCCGTCTCCATGTCTTGTTCTCTTTCATCTCGGCGCGCATCTTGTTGCGAGCGGGGAGGTGGTGGTCCGATTGCTGCGATCCGACCAACGGAATCCCTTTTTCTGCCCAGAACCAATGCTTCAGCTGCCAGGTAATCTCTCCGCGGATCGTCGTCATAATTCTGTTGCATTCCCCTATGACAGCTCGAATCCCACGCTCTGCAATGTGAGACTGCAGCCCTTCCTCTGTTGTCTCCCCTGCCAGTTTGGCCGTCGCTTGCACCGCCGCAAAAAACGTGTCCTCTGTAGGGTACAGAGTTGCGTCGTTCGCCGAAGAGAACGCAAAGGCTTTGGCGACGGAACGCAACAGCTTGCCCTTCATTTTCTTCGCTAATACAGCGCCCTCCTCGTTGGGTCCTTGCGCGGCTATGCCCCTTGCGCGCGCTTTCGTTCTTGACGTTGCGATGGGCAGGGAAACACAAGACATAACGCACAGGATAGTGTTAGCAACTCGGCGCCTTGTTCTGAATACAGCACTTGGTAATTGGAAGATTCGACTATCAACAGTGCGTTCACTAAAACCCTTTTCCGTGCGTGAAGGCTTGCGCCCCGTGGGGGCATGGGATTAGCTGCTCGTGAGTGGGAGGGGAGCGAGTGCGACGTGGGTTTTTTACCTTTTCCAGTGGCGCTCACGTGCCGCACGATTTGTCTGTCACCGACAGGCTCCTCGATGTCGCTGCCATTGCGTGCCTGCCGTTCTCCTTCGCTGCGCAGCGTCCTCGAAGGAGATGGTGAATCATCTCCTTCCGAAGCGGCGCTCCGGTCTTCGCCGGTACTCTGGCTGGCCGATTTGTCGTCGCTGTTATCGTCCTCGTCGGTGTCTTGCGACTGCCCGCGGGAAGGACCGCTGTCGTCTCCCTCGTTTCCCCCCTCCTCATCCTCCGCACGGTCTGACTTCTCTGGCGTGGAACGGTCGTGTTCCTCCTCTTCTTCCGCTTGGGGTGTGCTGTGCCTGTCGTCAGACCCTCTAAGATCGATTGTCTCCACTGGTCTCTCGTCTTTGTAGGATATTCTCTTCTTTGAACTCCGGTGAGTAGTCGCGCTTCTATCATCCGACGATTTTTTTTCTGGGGCCCTCGGCGGACGGTTCTCGGCGCCTCTTCCGCGCTTTTCCCCGACAGGGGTCAAGGGGGGCGACTCGTTACGTTCTTTCATCGTTGAAATGTCCCGCTCACTCGAAGGGACTGTAACTTTCGACCCGGATTTACGCCTGCGCCTGTGCACCATTTTCGCGGAGAGGCCGGCACCGCTTCTGCGATGCTCTTTCGACTCCCTCTTCTCAGCCCCCGATTTCTTCCGGCACTTGTCCTTCTTTTCCGCGGGTTTCAAAGACCTGCACAGATCCTCGTATTTTCGCCTTGGAGCCATCACCCTTTTTTCCCACAGATCCTCGTATTTTCGCCTTGGGACAACAAGCAGCATCGGTACACACTGACATGACACGCAGCAGTCAACCTCACCCAGCTGGAAAAAAAAAAAAAAGTTTGTGGCACCAGCGCGAGGTTGGCTATTGCGGGCCAGAACGAGTACAACCAGCAGCGGTGTACAC